GTTATTCAGTTGACATTCCATTTTTAACGATGTTACCCAAAAAAATCATTACCAACAAAAGTAGCACTCACTTTCTCCTACCCCAAAAGAAAAAACATGCAAGATTATCTTTTACGAAGTATGACTAAATGCTGCCTGCTGGACAGATTATTTACTTGGAAACCAGTGAGATCAACTTGTGGCAGTGTAGACAAACCAGCTCCTTGGGTTTTGGTTCTTTTAGGTTTGCACACCCTTTGCCTAAGATTGTTAATCTTCAATCAAGTGAGTCCTGTGAAGCATCCCTGTAGAACGAGGACAGAACCCTGTGGAAGGCCCTGAGCTGACTCTTCCGAGTGAATGGGTTTGCTTTGCAGTGAAGCAGTTTCTCTGGGCCAACAGATTGTGCGCTGTGGAAGTCCACCTGCCTGTCCCTCGGCTTGAAGAGGCCCTTGCTCCAGAGGAGAAGCCATGTAGAAGAAATATCAAATGTCCATCTTGAGTCTGAAAATAGTATTTCTCTGGTCCATTCTGGTGCCTCCTGTGTGTCGTCGATTCCAAGATAAATAAGCTAACACTCTATCTTAAAGTAGATTACAATAATGTTAAGAGAAAAACAACTTGAGTAAGAGCAATTAATTAAGCATTGTTCATGCTGTGATATGTATAAGATAGTGTGGGCAAAAATTGATTGATGAACAGATAAAGAAGACGTGGTGTGTGTGTGTGTGTGTGTGTGTGTGTGTGTGTGTGTGTGTGTAATGAAATATTACTCTGGGATCAAAAAGAGTGAAATCTTTCCATTTGCAACAACATGGATGGAACTAGAGTGTATTATGCTAGGGGAAATAAGCCGGAGAAAGACAAATATCATGATTTCACTCATATGTGGAATTTAAGAAACTAGACAGATGAACACAGGGAAAGGGAAGGAAAAATAAGGTAAAAACAGAGGGAGGCAAACCATAAGAGATGCTTAAATACAGAGAACAAACTGAGGGTTGCTGGAGGTGAAGTGGGTGTGGGGATAGACTAAATGGGTCATGGGCATTAAGGAGGGCACTTGTGATGAGCACTGGGTGTTCTATGTAAGTGATGAATCACTAAATTCAACTCCTGAAACCAATACTACAGTATATGTTAACCACCTTGAATTAGAAAAACAAAAAGATAGTGTGGGAAGCATAAAAATGGGAACCTGTAGTTTCACCTGGGAAAACATTTGTTAGACATTAGATTTTTTGAAAGTACAACCGAGTTTTTAAAAAGAAATGACCTGTAATCTGTGTACCCCTTCACTCCCAATCGCACAGCCCTCTGGATTTTAAAGAACAATCATTTGCAGAATTTTTTTTTTTTTTAAATTAAGGAATGTGTCTAAAACTATGCCTTCTCAGGGGTGCCTGGCTGGCTCAGTCGGTGGAGCATACAACTTTTGATCTCAAAATTGTGACTCTAAGCCCCATGTTGGATGCAGAGATCACTTTAAAAATACAATCTTTAAAATGATGCCCTCTCAGAGATTCCCCTGAGAGAGGATCTGTTTATTCTCTCGGAGCCTGAAAAGCCCCAGTGTAGAAATAGTTTCATTGAGGACAGGGATGAATTCATATAGCTTATTGACTGATAAGCTTATTATTAGTTTGTATAGCTTCTGTTGGGAGATTTGTTTTTAGACCTTTGTTTGCTATTGGCTGCCCTCCCCTCAGGCCTGGGATTGTATGTACAATCTGATTATGTTTTAGAGTGAGGCAAACACAGAACCCGAGACCAACAGTTTCCCTTTTTTGTCCTCTGCCTTTCCCTCCTCCGGATAGTAATGTCAGTCAACAAACACCCCCCCCCACCTCAGTATCTATCTGTCTGCCTGTCTGTCTGTCTATCTATCATCTCAGCAAAACACCCAGCTCTGTAGGCTGCCATCATAGCTGCAGAAATGGCATAGTCTCCACCCCCAACTACTGCCCACGACAGTTTGCTGCTCCAAGTGGCAGAAGCCACCACGTTGGACATTTGTCCTCAATGGATCTGGGCTATTGAATTAGAACCAACAAACATTTGGTTTCTAACCACTCTCTGTTGATATGAATGTGAGAGCCTCTTCTGTATGTGCTGCAGAGTGTATTAAAAAGGCTATCGTCACAAGATAAAGTAAAGTTTGAAACTGGGAATTGCTTGAAACTCTTGCAAATTTGGCCTGATTTTCTTTTCCCATAGTTTTGAGATTAGACGTGAGAATTGCAGGAACAAAGTTTCCATGTTCTTGGTATGGCACAGGTCTCCTGTTTACACCTTTGAAGGGAAAATTATGTTCATGGATTCCTGAAGTTCTAGTTTATGCGTGTTCGTTGTGTTGTTCATTCCAGTAATCACTGGGTTGGGCCCCGGGGGTAACAGAAATGACTGTCAGTGGGGCCCATGAGAGCAAGAGTCTAGTGGGGAAGGTGGACCCAGAGAAGTCATTTCTTTTAAGTATGAGATGTCCCAGGAGGAGGATTTGGAGGTCAGGAAGTATTTTCCTATGGAAGAAAAAAAAAAATCAAAGTTAAGTTCCCTGGCTACCAACCAAAAGCTAATTTTTTTTTTTTTTATATATCAATAATAATAGCTAAGCTTTAATCGACCCTTAATAAGTCCCAGGGAAAATTCTAAAGCTTTAATTTATTCCTTTCAACAGTGCTATGAGGTATTATTATTATCTCCATTTTCAATATATGACCAAACAGGCATGAAGAAATTAATTTGCTCAGATGGGCCTACCAGTCAGATACCTAATCTAGTCTCTTAAAAAGAATGAATGACAACATAGCCTGCTTAATTTGTATATCTAGTTTCCTATATTAATGACCCTTTTTGGAGAGCTTTTTAATAGTTAACTGGTGAACGTGCAGTTTAACGATACCAGCTTATTATGTTTCCTCCTTTTTATTCCAAGTTACATCAGAGCAAAAAGCTTGTCTTACCTGTCATAGAGTTGACAGCATGCAGCCTGGAGGCCTATCCGATATATTGGTTGAATCAATTTGGAATGAAGAGCTCTTTGAGAACATACTGACTTCCCTATAGCACTCTTCTCAGTACTTTGCAAAAAGTTAGGTACTTAATAAATGCTTGCAGAATGAATAAACGAAATTGTTAGTTTTTGTAGTGGAAATAGGGCTTACCAATTCCAAAAGATTGTGTCATTTCTTGTTATAGTAAGTAGATTTTGAGATTACTTTGTTGGGTTCACTCCATGGTCTGTGACTCTGAATTTTTCCAAGTTTCTATGTTTTTAGTGCTCTACCAATTTAGCGGATGGCTTTTAAAAAGCTGCTGACTATGCAAAAGGGATAAGAAGGTAGAATGATTTTGGGGGCACCTGGGTGGCTCAGTCACTCGAGTGTCTGACTCTTGATTTTGGCTCAGGTTATGAGTCCAGGGTTGTTCTGCACCGAGTGTGCAGCCTGCTTAAGATTATGTCTCTCCTTCTGTCCCTCTCCCCTGCTCTCATGCTCTGTCTGTCTAAAAATAAAAAAAAGAGGGTAGAATGATTTTAAGATGACCTGGGCTTGATCTGGGAAGTTTTCCTTGTTTATAGATATGTTTAAAATGTGCAGGAACCAGTCAGTCAATGCCCACCCCTCTCCTTTTTGCTTAACAAGATCTGGATTCTGCTTATATGCAGTTCCATTCGGTAGTCAGCAGTTATGTTTAGGGTTGGCGCATATTGAACAAAATCCATGAGTTTAATATTGAAGTATACAGGGGAGTCCATAAATGCCTCATGTGTAATTGTGGGGGAAGGAAAACTTTTCCCCTGCTCTCTTAGGTTTGATGGCCAGCTCTGTAATAAACTGACAGAAGAAAAGATAGGCACATTTATTAATTTTTGATAGGTGCATGGGGACATAACAGGAAAACAAAAGTAAATGCCCCAAAAAGGGTGATATTTGAGAATTGATATACTGTCCCAATAGGGGAAGGGTTGGGGGTGTAGGCAATTTAGGAGAGAGTTAATGATTTGTACAAAAGATGAATGGGCCCTTAGAAGAATAGATGGGAGATATGATAGTTTGTGACCAGGTTTGTCTGGGTGTGATGTTGACTTCTAGTCCCTTGTCTTGAGATAAGAGTCAATCCTTCCTGGTTGATGAAACTCCCAGGGCTTTATGACAATTGAGTTCCTGTGGAAGATCCATCTTTAGGCAGTTGGGAGAGTTCAGCGAAAGCCTCTCACCGTACTTGCCGTTTTCCAAGTGCCTACAGCTCAAAAGAACCTATACACCAAGGCAGCATGTTTTAGGGTGGCATGTCCTGAGCATCTGGGACGTGAGGATAAAGTCCCACAGAATGAGGTTGCACAGCTGGATTTGTCACCTGTTGTCTGGTGCTGTGCATTTCCTGCAACTGTAGGATGAGAACAGATGTCAGAGTGAGGTGGGGGCGGCAGTAACATGGAGTTTGAAAAGCCCCCTTGCGGATTCCCGTCCACTGCCCTTTTGTCACTGCGGTAATGCATGTGTTTATATTTTTATGTAATGTACTTATATGTTGATATGAGCTAAAATATTTTCATATTAGGAGAAGGCCAAGCTCATCAATTGGCTGGGGTCTATTGTGGCTCCAGTGTCCTCTGCTTCTGGATTTATAATATGGCCCATGGGAGAGCATGGCTGTGAGTTGAGTTTTGTAGAATGGGAGAGATTTTATTACGAGGTTGAGCGAGTACCTATGTACCATGAGGATTTAAGGACGCTTGTAGGCTGTGCAACATGAAGCGGCACAGTCAGGGGTAAGCCATGCTTATAGAATGTGAATCAAATTGTCTACCTAAATAGAGAAGTAAACTGAGGCAAGCCCTAATGACCAGAAATTGAGTTGATTCAGGAAGAGCAAGACAATTGCAGTTCAGGAAGCACGCTGTAGCAAGCTATACCTGAGTCCATGGAAGGCTTGGGGTGGTCTATATTTATGGGTAAGGAGTGCAAACAGGAAGAAGTCCAGCCAGACTCCAAGTCATTAAGTTCATTGGCTTGAGGATGAGGAGAGATTCTTGGCAGATGTTCATTGGTCAGGAGGTAAGTCTCAGTCTTCTGTATGTGAGGCATTTACTGGGAGTCAGTGTCTCAGTTTTTAAGCTCTGTTCTTCTGAGGTCATGTGCATGAGATTCCTCAATTCATATCCTGCAGTCCCATTTGAGATTCAAGCCCTTCCCTCAGAATCCTGCTGAGATTCCAGCTTCCTGTGAAATCTTCACCAAAGTGGGACTTTATGAGTGAGAATTTTGAAGTTGGAGAACTTGAAATTCACTCTATAGAACTATGGTACAAGATTTAAAAGTGACTTGTAACAGAATTAAAATGATGCTTCAGTTATAACATTCCTTCCTTCCTAGAGTTTTGTGCATTTATGGACATTTTGCTGAAAATGAGATTATGGATCTATTTGTGATTATTTTTGTGTTCGCATTTGGTTTATTTGTGTCTGTGTTGTCTGTGATAGAAGCCAGTAAATGCTTAGTCTGTTTGGGGTTGGTCTTGACATTTTGATTCGTCTCCATGATATTTAAATATGTCTTGCCTGCCAGAACTACTGTAGTTACACTGCTTTCTTACATAATTATAATATGAAAAATAACGACACTTTCTCTTCAGTCCCAGAAATCCTGGATTGAAGGAGTGTTCAACAAGAGAGAATGTAGCAAAATCATACCTAGCTCAAAAGACCCTCACAGGTACAATTTTTAATTCTATTTTCCATTTTAAAGCAACACTACTTTGAGGACTGTTTGTGGAAACTTAGAGATACGATTTGTCTAGAGGATTCAATAATATATATCTGTAAAGTGAGCGTTTCTTTATTTTTAATCAATGTTTCTTTTTATATATTTATTTATTTCAATGTTTATTTATTTTTGAGAGAGAGAGAGAGAGAGAGAGAGACAGAGCACACGTGGGGGAGGGGCAGAGAGAGAGAGGGAGGCGCAGAATCTGAAACAGGTTCCAGGCTCTGAGCCATCGGCACAGAGCCCGACGTGGGGCTCAAACCCATGAACTGTGAGATCATGACCTGAGCTGAAGTCAGATGCTTAACTGATTGAGCTACCCAGGCGCCCCTGTTTCGTTGTCTTTATAAAAATAATACATGATTATTGCAGACAACCTGCCGAACTCAGGGACCTTGTTGATTTCATTCCTTACTCCAACCCCAGTTGCTTCTGACCGTGCCTGCTGCTTGGTACGCTCCTGACAAACATCTGTTTAATGACCGAGGGAAGTATAAAGAAGAAAAGGTTTATCATAATGACATCACCCTGATGGAGCCACTGTTACTATCGTGGCGGTTGTCATTTCTTTGATGCTTCTATTTCTCTTAGTGAAATAATGGCAATTAGGGGAACCCCTGCAACAAACATGATGGTGCTAGAGATCATCATGCTAAGCAAAATAAGTCAGGGAAAGACAGAGACCATATGATTTTACTCATTTGTGGAATTTAAGAAACAAAACAAATGAGCAAAGGGGAAGACAAAAAAGGAGAGGGAGACAAACTGAGAAATAGACTCTTTACTGCAGAGAATAATCTGAAGGTTACTGGAAGGAGGTGGGTGAAATGGTGAAGGGGATTAAGGGTGCACTTAGGATGAACACGGAGTACTGTAGAGCATTGTTGAATCACTCTATTGTACACCTGAAACTAATAGAATACTGGATGTTAACTATACTGAAATTAAACATCAAAACCTAAGGGGGTGCCTGGGTGGCTCAGTTGGTTAAGTGACTGCCTTTGGCTCAGGTCATGATCTCACGGTTTGTGGGTTCAAGCCCCACATCAGGCTCTCTGCTGTCTGCATGGAACCTGCGTGGGATACTCTGTCCCCCTTTGTCTCTGCCCCTTCCCCACTTGTTAGTTTTCTGTCTCTCTCTCTCTCAAAATAAATAAAAATTAAAAAAAAAATAATTTAAAAACAAATTAAAAAAAAGAAATGAGGAAAATATCTGGTGCTGTGTCCATTTTACCTGGTTTGGATGAACAATTTACAGCTTCTGAATACTGAATATTGAAAATATTGTGAATGTTCCTTTTCCCCATCTCAAGCATTTATGGAAAATCGTGACAGTTCGGGATATTTCAAGACGCCGTGTTCAGATTATGCAGAGTTCCCTGTTTTCCCCATATACTTTTTGTTTGAGCGGGTAGTGGATGGCAGAATGGAATGAATGACTTGAGTTTGCTGAGTTCTTGAGAACCCTTTGGAAGCTCTACTTTTAGAACAAAGTTCAAAACAGCGGCCAGTGAAAGATAGGAGAATAAAGGGCTATGGAAAATTCCCCAGGGTAATTGGGTTCATGAAATTAAGATTGGATGGTATTGCCCTTGGGGAGTAGAAATTAAAAGGAAAAAGAAAATAGAAGAGCCATATTTTAATTGGGGGGGGGGCACTCTATTTTTAGATCCTTTTTAGCATTTGGCCTTATGTTCATTTAAAGTTTAGAAACCACAGTTGTATGCTTATGAAGGGTAGCATGAAATTCTTGATCTTTGGGGACAACTAAAACAGTGATCCTTGCCTTTGTTAAATATTTACTAGCCCCACCCTCATTGAATTACCTGTGGTCTGTAAGCCTTGTGATTGGAAGTTCTCATTTTACCTGCTTATAAAATGTTTTACAGAAGCCAAGGTAACCTTGTTTTTTCCCTTCATCTTTTATGACATCTTGTGATGTGACGATGGTCGCAATGGAAGGCAGACTGAGCTCAGGCAACTCCTTCTGCTTCTGTAAATAGAAAATCATTTTCATAATCATCGTGTTAATGAAATGTGATAAACTACAGGCCATTAGCCCATAGACTCAAGAAGAATAGCAATGATCATAGTTCCATATTATAGAATGGTCCAAGATCTACCACAAGCAGTCTCTATTTTGTGTAATTATGAAAAAAAATTAATGGATGATTATGGTTCTTCGTTTGCCAGCCTTTTTCTTAGATCCTAGTAAGAATCTCAAAATTGTATCTTTCATGAGGTTTTCTTCCTGACTGTGCACAAGAAAAAGGTGATAGTTCATGATTTTAAATTTAGATGAAAATTTATCTTTTGTTTGTTATTTTTGTAATTCCTAATAAGAAACTGATCTGATAGACTTGATGACAATGTCTTTTTCCTTCTTATTTTTCATTTGCTGGCGAAGTGAAGCTTCTGAGAAAAGACAGTCCCAAAAGGCTAGGACAGGAAGAAGTGACAGGACCTAAATATTTGTTTCTGAATAATTTAGAATGATCCTGATTCTATGAGTACTATATTTTCTTCCATTGTTTTAACTAATATTCTCTTCTAATTGAAGCTTCTTTATACCTAAAATATGATCAGTGATGATCACCATGATCCCCCAACATCAGAAGGTTCTTTTTTGAATTATAAAAAGAAAGATTAATAAGGGTAATACTTATAATCACACCAACTGTCTTTTGATTTGACAGTGTTTTATGGTTTTAAAGTTGTTTATATATAAATTTATATACAATTATATTACTAAATCATATAATATACAGCATATAAGTAATATATAATTATTGTATATAATTTATAAATATATGTTTACATATTTATACTATGTAAATACATTTTCTTAATTCTCAGAATTCTCAAGAATTCTCTTATCTTCATAGAGTAATAATAATAATAATAGCCACCATTATTATATATACTGCAATGCCACCACTCTAAGACACATTACATATATTATCTCAGGTCATCCTCTTAATAACCTTATGGAGCAGATGTTATTTTCAGATGTGAAAACTGGGGCTTGGAGGAATCATTGAATCAATGAGATTTAAATCCAGGTATTTAGGTTTCAATTTCAGTGTTCTGTTCATTAGGTCATGGTTGCTGCAGTCTAATTATATTTGGCAAATGACAAATGGGAATATTTGGGAAATGATACATGAGTACTAGCACGTGCTGATTTTGCTAGACCTTGGAAAATAATAGATATTTGCGGTATGTGCATTAAGTGTGCTTTCAAAATGTATCACTAGACTAACAGAGGTTGTGTTGTTTTTTTTTTTAATTTAGATGCACCGCAGGATGCCAGGTCTGCCAGAATTTAATCAGGTAAGACTTAGAGAAATAAGATTTCTTTTAATATTTAGGCACTCTGTGTAAAACTTATTGGGGTAGTTTTCTCACATCTTGAATGGACTCAATGAAAGGACTTTATTGGTGGATCCTGTTTACCTCTCCAAGGGAAGTTTTAAAAACAAATGTGGGATGTTTTTGAAGGAGAGTGAGTTGTTGAATGTAATAGATTACTTGAATTACTGAGACATGTAAATGGCAAGGGCGTTTGGCAAGAGCTTCTAGCAGTTGAAATACTTGTAAAACATTACCTTGTCATTTGACTATGTTATATTTTACTTGGATAATGAAGATGCTTTGTGCACCGTGTTTGATCTATGACTTTCAAGTGATGTGTGCTCAGACCAAGCTCTGATTCTGACACCGGTTTTGATGTGTATGTTTTTTTTCCAACAGCACCAGGAAATTAAATTCTGGAGATAGTGTCACATCCTGTAGGTGAACAGCTCAGTCCTACAAGACTGCTCTTCTTCCCCGCACTTTGGGTGCCAACCCCAAGTCCAAGTTGTCACCTGTGGTTCTGAGTGGTAGGCTATAGTTGAGAGATTCCCAAGGATATCTCCACGGGGTCATTTAATTTGCTACCAAGGCTCCCAGACTCAGAGAAACATTGGCTTATGTTTACCAGTTTATTATAAAGGATATTAGGAAGGATAAACAGCTAGATGGAAGAGGTGCATAGGGCCAGGTATGTGGGAAGGGGCACGGGGCTTCAATGTTCTTTCTGAGCAAGTCAGTCTTCTAGCACCTGCATATGATCACCAACCTGAAGTTCTCTGAATTCCATCCTTTTCGGTTTTTATAGAGGCTTTATTACATAAGCATGATTGGTTGAATCATTGGCCATTGGTGGTTTATCTTTATCTTTCTTTATCTTTGTCTTTCTTATCAGCATCCTTATCTTTCTTATCACATAGGGAATTTCAAGGGTTTTAGGGGCTCTGTGCCATAAATGGGGACAAAGACCAAATATATATTTATTATAAATCACAATATTACCCGAGTTTATGGGCAAAATGAACTCTTTAGCAGAATACAAATGTTAACAGTGATTTGCATTTTAAACTATCTATTAATAACGGGTTTTACCCTTCTCTTTGTAAGTGGAGGAAAATGTAATTTCCTGAATTTTGAGCATAGTTCACATTACGGATTGACCCAGAGTTAAACTTATTTTTGTAAAAGAAAAAAATCCAGAATCCCAAGTTTAGCAAATTATGGGGAAAGGAAAACACGGTCCACGGCTGTAGGAGGGGAGGAAGTATAAGCTTGCTGGGTGTGTTGGTCTGTTCAGGCTGCCCTAACAGCGTACTACACATTGGGTGGTTTAAACAATAAAAATTTATTATTTCAGAGCCATGCAAGTCCAAGATCAAGGTGCCATTAGAGCTGATTTCTGATGAGGTGTCTCTTCTTGCTCTGCAGGCAGCTACCTTCCCACTGTGTCTTCACATGGCCTTTCCTCTGTGCGCTGACAGAGAAGAGAGCTCTTGTGTCTCTTTCTTTTCTTACAAAGACACCAT